ATGTTATTGGTTTGTGGTTATTCCAACGCAAAGAATTTGTTAAGGATAAATAATTTAAATTATGACACTAGTCTTAGCAAACAGGTGGTTCAAGTCAAAATGGGTCATGCGTCAAAATAGGTCAAGTTGGAATGGTTCACGGGTCAATAAAAATTGATATTAATCTATTCATTATAGGTCACGAGTCAAACTATGAATTGATTCAATTATTTTTTTCTATAATTTGTACATATTATCATCTAAAAAAATTATTCAAAATATTTAAAAATAAAATTTAACATTTTATAAAAAGATTTTTTTTATTAATTTAATAAAACATATTTATAGTTTTTCATAATCACATTCTCTAGTTCCGTTCAAAGAACAATGCTTCTCAAATTCGAAAACATCATACACTTATAAATCTCAATAATAAAAAAAAAAAGAAGCAATAGTAGCATGACAACAAAAAAACACAAATCTTATTGGAACATATTTGTTTCAGTTATTCCTCTAAAAGAATCAATCAATTGCATGCATCTAAGTAAGTAAAAGAGAAGGTCAAATAGAATTTTTACTCGGAATAAAAAAAAAAAAAAACTAAAAAGCATAAATAAGTAAACAACTTACTTTGAAGGGTTTAGAGAGAAAAGTTAGTGACAAAGAGAGCATTTGTCGGACTCAAAAGAGAAAAAAAGAAATGGTTGAGTTGATACGACAATGACTTGGTGAGATTAAAATTTGAGTCCAAGATGATGTTAAAGATTAAAGAGAAAAGGTGGAGTCTAAGTTTAGAAGTCAAAAGTTGTATAAACTATGAAGGTTGAAGAATATCAAAAAATTTTGAATTTTGAAGTGTTAGAGTCTTAGAGAATATTAGGATAAATAAGACTAGGAAAGGTCGAGAGATGAGTCATGGGTGGAGTGGGATTGTTTTTGCTTTTAAAAGATGATAAGCTAAGAGAATCAATTAATTAATTATGAAAAATTAGTCAATTATTAGAAGTTTAGGTGGGATTGGGAATTGAAAAAAATAAATAAATAAACAAATAAATTACAAATTTTTAAATTTTTAAATGAGTAAACATATCAAACTCATTAATCTGGTGGGTCAACTCATTATTGACCCGTAACTTATCGGGTTCTCTTAACGAATCAATAAAGAGTCACGAATCATAAATATCTAATTTTAACCCGTTTTAAATGGGTGGGTAATAAAGGAGTTAACAGATTTGGTAAAAAATTGTTAGGTTTAATTATGAGATAGTGTGTGATGAGTCTTTAAAAAAAAAAATTTAGAGAATTTGTTGCAAATTTTATTTTTTAATTAATATTTTTAAAAATTAACTATTAAATTGAAATTTTTATTAATATAATTCATATATGTTAATTTTCATATTAGTCTAATATTTATAATCTTTTAATTAAAAAATATATTTATTAATATGTATTTAACAATATTAAATTTTCTATAATCAATAAAATTATTATAATTATTTGAATAATTTAAAAATTGGTATACATGATTTATAGAAATAAAATTTTTAATACAACAATTAGTT